TCTGATAGAGGACCGTAGCGAGCGGTAAAGCTCGAATCCTCCCATCCCAGTGAGAGAGCGAAAAATCCGGGTGGAGTTTATTTTTAAATACAGGATTAAATTATAAAATTCAATTAATGGAAAATTAAACTAAATTAAGTAATTAAAATGTACGTATTAAAAAATGAGTAAACTAATTAAAAAAAGACGTATTAAATTAATCATGTATTAAATAATTAAAAACAATTAATTAAAAGTGGTGTCCCTCCAAACACATGGTTAAGAGCTCGTTGCCATAAACATAAAAAATAGTGCTGATGCCACAAAAATAAAAACTTTGAAAAGATCGTTACCACAGAATCAAAACGAAACTCAACATGATTACGTCATTCCATCACGTGATACAAGATGGCGCTGGTGTCGTCACTTCCGGAGAAATTCAAAATGGCAGAGGCCACGCCCCCTGTGACGTCACATCTGCATTAACCGAGTATGGTGGGTTACTACTCATGTCATGTTCTAGCAAATCTAGTATAATTATCCCATGAACACTTACCAAGGATTTGTAGAATCTATGCGACGAGTTCCAGCTGCTTTTCATTCAAAGGTGAAATTAAAACTGCATTACAAAAGTTTCCTTATCAGTGTATATTATGTGAAGGATATAAAAAAGTATACATATATTTAGAATGTTACAGATATAATCTGTCCAAAGCACAAAAATATGTGTAGGTGAGTTCACAGATGATTTTAGGTTTGTCCTTTTTTTACCTTTTAGTATGGGTTACCTTAACAGCACATGTTTATTATTTTAATGAACATGTGTTGTTTTCATCAAAGTAATTATTGTTAATGAATCTCTGTATGACATACATTCTCATTCTGTTAATTAATCTTCAAGACAGTGAATTTATATTTTACTTTATTTATTTATTATTATTATTATTTTTAGTTTCTTAATGTTCTGTTTCAGATAAACACGACACGATAATGCTGTAAATTTATGTAAATATTTTAGTCTATTTGATCATATTTTAATTTTTATGTGTTGTTTTTAATTACTGTTTCATTTATTTTATTTTTACTTGATCAAAATACTGACCACTTACTGTGTTTGTAGGTGTTTGAGCATTATGCAGTAGATCTCCTAATTTCCTCCTCCTAATCTCAATTTGAATTATAAAGATAGCTCAATCAGAACATGAGAAATAGATGGAAAAACTCCTGATGGGCCTGAGAGAAAATTCTTTTTATCAAATCGGTAACATTTAAAGCTTTTTCACTAAAATGTATAATTTTGTAAGTTAACAGAAAATTCATTTTTGAGTCCCAAAGTAACTTTTTTAAAGTCTTGAAATACTTAGTCAAGCCTACAAATACAAATGTGTTGGGCATGAGTTAGTTGAGAGATTCAGTTCAGAGTTCTGCTACTGTATTGAGCTTCAGACTTTGCTCTGTGAATGATTTTGCTGATTTGTGATACTCCTCATGTTTTTAAGAATTTGCTTTTGCTCTGTTTTTCTCCCAAAACTATTTTACGTCACATTGGCAGTTATTTATTTCAATAAAGTGTCAGTTTCTTCCTATTACTCTGGTGTAGTTATTAGAGAAATCTGTGTAAGTCATAGCTTGCAACAATTCAAAGAACATTTGCATGGTTTAAAAACATGGCCATATGAGACAATAAATGTACAATATGATTTTAAAAAGTGAAATCAAAGAAAAATGTGATATTACATTTTCTGATGTCATGACTAAGTCATATATGCATTACAAATAATGTATGACGAACATATTTGATTGCAAAGTAACTGCAAAGCTGGGTTAACTACACTGGCAGGAAAAATTAAAAGAACAGTTATAAAAAATGCTTTATATTAAGTATGTCCAATGAAAGGTAGTTGGTAGCTCTAGGTCAGTATCATTATGTAGTCCAATAGAATTCCCTTCAGTACACAGAAATATGTAAATTTTTGCATCCATTCTTTCAGCAAATGCAGAAAACAGCTCAAGGGGATATGCTTCAAATTCTAACTGCAAGGATTCTATGAGTAGCTGGACAAAATTTTCATATGTGGAAGATGGACTATATTGTTAAGGAGGCACTTAATGGAATGTTAAAAATGGTTTGCGACTGCAATAACAGATGCAAAAGAGACTTTAGCACATGTCTCTAAAAAGCTAAAAAGTAGCCCAAAGTATCATTAAGATTCTGGATATTATTTTAAGACACTGGTAATGAATGCAGTTAATTAGATCAAACTCAAAATTGTGCCACAACGAATTATTAGAACTGTTATTTGACAATGACAGCTAAAAATGATGCCAGCCCAGTCTTTAAGAAAGTTTGTGCAGCTACAGGATCTTGACCATCTAGACATACTACATGTGACAACCTGAATAAAAGAGGGTTCTATGCAAAGAGACCATGATTTGTATTCCATTAACTCAAACTGTGAAATTCAACCAATTTAGGTGACACAGAGATAATCATGAATAGCATACCAGACTGAAGCTGAATTTGCTTTACTGATGACTTTTTTATTTGAAGAATGATTCCAGACCTTTTAAATCTGGAAGGAACAAATTACTTAAAATAAGCTTGAAAATATCCATGAAAATATATAAGTGGTGCAATCATAATATGGGCAGGCTTTATTTCGAATAACAACCTAACTTTTACCTGTGGATCTGTGAATGCTGAAATATACAGACATGATATTCTTGATTCTTATGTCAAACTGTTTAGAACTGCAGCTGGTAATAACTTCTTCCTAATGGACAATAATGTTCATCTGTATCATACTGCACTAGTGACTGATTATCTTGATGGCAAAAGAATCCAGCAGATAGAATGATGCACATATTCTTTGAATTTAAATCCAAAAGAATATGTATGGAATGCATTGAGAATGCTGAATTGCAACTGCAGCCTCAACCTAGCACTTCCCAGGTGCTGCATGAACACACTTTGTTACTGCAAGAACTTAATACAGAGGAAATTGATAGAAAGCTTGCATTTTGGTCAGGGGTGGTCACACACCTTATTAATTTTTTTATGTCTTTAAAAAGTTGCAACATCAGCTTTTCTTTACTCCACTTTATATCATATTTCCCGAATTCTCATTTAAATTTTCTGAAGAAACATGCAATTGTGCATCTTTTAGATAAGTTAGGTATGACAAAACAAAAATCTTGTGCGAGTTCCATGTTCTTAGCTGCAAAATCATTCTTGTTACATGACCTTGTAGATTTGTTCCTTTAATTTTATTAAAGTATATGTGTGACTTGTACTGCTTATGAGATTATTATACAGGGTGTTTCATAGATAATGGAACAAACTTGGAGGGGGGTGGAGCATACTAAAACATGCATTTTTTTATAGGCATGTAGGATCTAAACTGACAAGTTAAGGCAGGGGGAAAAAAAAAACCGACACGAGAAGATATTGTGTTTATGTACAAAATCAACACAAAGTACTTCTTTGTAGCAATACAGTATTCACAATAAATGTTCAAAATTGCGACCACCAGCAGTAATGCATGCTTGGTAATGTCGCAGAAGGGATTGACGAAGAAAAACGACAGGCATTTCGCGCACACTTGCAGCCATAATGGATAGTCGTGCAACGAGGTCCTCCATGAGTCAACAGGAATCTCGTAAATGATGCTCTTCAAATGGCCCCATAAAAAAAAAATCCAAACTGGATAAATCTGGCGAATGGGGTGGGCATCGAATGGGTCCACCACGGCCAATCCAAGTAATTGCAGACCCGCTCGTGGTTATGGGCTGGTGCACCACCATGCTGGAAACACATGCGATCACGAACAACTGCCGGAACATCCTGCAGCAATTCTGGTAGCACCTCTTACAGAAAAATATGATAACATAAGCCATTTGTATGTGCAGGTAAGAGGTATGAGCCTATGAGGTAGTCGTTACAATACCTGCCCAAACATGTGGACGTGTACCATGTAAATTATGAATTGCCCACACGTGCATATTGTGGCTATTGAAGATGTTGTCCTGTGAGAAAGTTGCCTCGTCCATAAATAGCACATCCGATGGGAAATCCGCCTGAGCCGCACACTGCTGCAAGAAATGAATTGAAATGACAGAAATGAACTCGAAGAGGGTCGTCTCTTGCAAGGCTTGGACTCTCTGCAAATGATATGGGTGCAAACTATTTTCATGCAATACTCTTCAAATGGTGGAATGACTCTGCAGACGAAGTGCAATAGCTCTTGTACTTGTCTGAGGTGATTCATACACAATGTTCAAGATGGATTCAATGCGAGGTTGTCGTGCACTTCTTCCACTCCTAGTGTCAGAAGTGGCTTCAAATGACCCGTTTTCACACAGAGACCGATGCAACCTCTCGAGCATTGTGTGCTTTGGCATACGCCTGTTCAGAAACCGTTCCTGGTACAACCATATCGCTGCTCTGCCGTTCCCATTAGCAGCACCATACATGAGATGCATGTCAGCTTTTTCCCTGTGCGTAAACTCACCCATCACGCTCAACATCAGAGTTGCAAATGATTCTCTGATGCATCAGATCGTGGTTTGTCTGGCTCACTACCTCCCTCTACCACTGCATTGCCAGCCAATCACAGCTGTAGTTCCTATTACTGTTAGTGTTCCCTTTTTGAACATTTATTATGAATAATGTATTGCTGCAAAGAAGCACTTTGAGTTGATTTTGTACATAAACACATTTTCCTCTCATGTCGTTTTTACCTTAACCCGTCACTTTAAACCCTACATTCCTACACAAAAAAATGCATGTTTTAGTATGTTCCACCACACCCCTCCAAGTTTGTCCCATGATCTATGAAACACCCTGTGTTTTTTAATTCAGAAATGCACTTTTTAAGGCTAGCTTTTACAAGAATTTAAACATGAGCTCCCTGCTCAAGATTACATATTTTAATGAGACCCTCCATCCACTGAACTTAAATTAAGTAATGATTTCCATTCCAATAGATTTGTAAAAATGTAATAAATGACAAAAACATGCATTGTGAAAATATGCATGCCCTTTAATGTTCCACATATGGAATTTTAACTATTTTTCTATATATAAAACAACTGAAGTGCAAAGGATACAAAAATTTATGTACTACGTTAATATAAAAAATTATTAAAATAAAATTTATTTACAAAAATTTATGAACTACTCTTTTCAGCTGATATTACTTTATCAATATTTTCAACAACTGCAGATATCCTTTCAATGCTTCTCTTCTTTTCCAGCATGATTAATATTTCAGTAATTCCAGGTCCATCCTAAAAAATATTTTTAAAATTTTACAAATTGATATGCTGAAAAATCTTCAAGCAAACCAATTAAAAATTTAGAGTGCATAAACAATAATAATACTTTCCTGTCTTTTCCATATATGATAGCAAAAGAAAAACATTGTGATCATTTTGCATTGCTTGGATGAAAGAATCCAAAGATTGATATACTAAAGTTTAAATAAGGTCTATAATATAAGTAATGAATTCAAAATAAATCCAACCAGTTTATTATAAAGTAATGATTCTCTGATCTTCTGTTTGGCAGGTAATTAATAAATTTTGATCAAGCATGTATAGTTACAAATTGCATATTTAACTTCTAATGCATAAATAACACACAAGAATGAAAACTCTTACATGTTGATTATAAGGGAAGGGATGGTACTTTATTTTTTATTTATTTTTACTATTTTGACTCCTATTATTAAATAGTTCAATGATTACTGATATATTATACTAATGTATGTCACATTATAATCTACCCATCACAACAAGAGTTCTAAATTGTATTTGTGATCTGTCTTTTCTCCCAAAAGGTGTTTTCACATGCTCATTTCGATACATAGTTGAGAAAGAATTTTCGAATCATATCTGTTGTCAATGATTACTACTGAGTAAAACTCAGTATTTTCAACCAAATTTATGGAACAGCTATAGAACCAGATTTGCTTGTTTTGGCAACTGACAGTTTCATAACAGATAAGAAATATGCCTAAATTAATATGCAGATTGCATCTAGAAAATATGAATTACATATTTTTGCACAAATTTTGAATATAAAAGTTGGAAACTTTCTAAATGTAATATATTAACTCCTAACTTGAAAGCCCAAGAATACTCAGGATTTCAATTTTGACATAAAATTTAGAGCTTGAGAATATTCACATGTCTTGACAATAACCTGTTTGTAAATATAAACCCCAAATAAAGTTGTTGCATTGAAATAGTTACAAATGTGGCCACAACATGACAAAAGTCTTTTTTGATTGGTTTTGCTGCATGAATTGTTCTAAAGAAGTCAAGATTAATAGTTCTAACAGCTATGTGCTCATATTGTGCTATATCATACTCTGTCTTTTTTGTTTTTTCCCTTTATGGAAAGTGATGAAGAGTTTGATATAGAATTCAGTGGTTCAGAAAGCAACAGTTCTGATATTGACAGTGTATGTGAAGCAACAACAGAACAACAATTCAGGAAAGTGATTCCCATAACATTAATTTTTCTGGCATTAGATTATGGCAGAAAACAGACTAGATCCCACTATTGCTTCCCACAACTTTAAATAAATGTATAATAAGAAAGAACATTATTATTATTTTATAAGCAACAGATGTCAACTGGCCTTGAATTTTCTCAGAGTGAGATTCAATTATAATTGGAATTTTGCTCTATTAAGACAATATAGAAATTTATATTCTATACTTGTAGAACTCCTTTAGAAAATGTTGAAATTGTTTTACCCTATTTTGAGATTGTAATATCTTAAAAAAAAAAAAAAAAAAAAAAAAAAAAAAAAAAAAAAAAAAAATAGTAATAAGAAAAAAATTTATGTTCATTTACAATTTGCTATCAAACTTAGAACTAATAGACCACATGTCCAAAAACAAAGAAAATTTTGTTGAAAACTAAACTGGAAAATATTTAAAAACTTGCATAATAGGTAAACTAAATCTATGAAAATCAAACCAAATATACTGCAAACTGCTGATGTATGAAAATTTCACAGAGAAATCTAAAGTTCAATTCATTCTACATTAAATAAATATAATGAACCCTTTAAGATGATCACCTATAATATTATACAGAGAATTTTAAAGTGCAAATCATTCTACATTAAATAAATATAGTGAACCCTTTTAAGATGATCACATAGAATTCCAAACAATTTTGGCTTTCAGGGTAAAAGTTGAGTGCATGATTTTTATTATTAAAATTATGAACAAACTGAAAGATAAAGCAGTGAAACTTTGACATTTATTTCATAAGTCAATTTTTGTAAACACTTAAGTGCACAGTAATTAAAAACCTGGCATAATATCTAAGGATAAAACACTTAAAAAAAATGTAAATTCTGTCTAGTAACTTCAAACAGCTATGTAAAAAAAAATTGGGGCGGGGGGGGGGAAATAATCTAATAGCTATTTTTGTAAACACTGTAAGTGAATACATGGAACAAAGCCTTATATAGTATACTATAAAAAAAATTTTCTTCAAAAAAACTTTTTACTTGTTAAAATATTCATTGAAAAAATCAACTCTCCTAATTTTTTGCTTATCGTTCCTCTTTCTTAAACAATTTGAACCTCTTCGAACTTAAAAATGAATAAATTCTGCTAGATTGTAATTTAATTGCTACTGCTTATTTATAGAATTCAAAGTTTTAGCTAAGGAAATAACAGATGCTTCATTACCTTTCTGCAGAATTCTTTTCTTAGAAGGGAAGTATTTTAAAATAGCAAAATATGAATACACACATTACAAGTATCAGCTTAGAAATAAACATAATTGATTTCAATAACATAAAAAATAAAAAAGAAATATCTTTGCTGCCCCCCCAAAAAAAACACTGTTTTATGATACTTGAGAGCCATAAATGAAAAAAGGAATGTATATTCTTTCATGCTGGTTGTATCCATAACACTAAATGGAACATATAAACTACACAAATGTAGAAGTAACTACTTATAAGTAAAGATAAAACAAATGATTCAGGAAAAAATATTAAGTACCATTTTCCATAAAAGTAGTTTCCTATTATAGAGAAATTTTGAGATATATCTCCTTAATATGGTTTGTTTGGTTTACTTGATTATGGCAATGCATTCCACAGCTATCTGCCTAAAGAGATGTCTTCATGGTGGAGTTTCTAAGAGACATTGGCTCGTATACACACACATGGGAAAAACCACAAAAACACTCATACAGCCAGCCCATTCGCTGAGATTTGAAAACTATCAGCATACAGCGACTTTAAAACTTAGCTAATGGAGGCGGGGCAGTCTGCTTCATATGATTAATATGTAAAATATGACAGAGAAATTAGATATTTTGATTGTCTCCTTAATACATATTTCATGCTCTTGGTCAGGCTGAGTAGTTTTTTTTTTTTTTTTTTTTTTTCTTTTTTCTTTTTAAGAGATCATTAAATTTTTCAAAACAGAGAAACTTGAGAAAACCAGATGTGCCCTCCCCAAGATCTGAAACATGGATCTTTCACATGCTAGCTAATATGCTAACCCAGTGGTTTCAAACTGGCAGCCTCTAAAATAATTTTATATGACCTGCAATTCATTTTCAATTATGTATTTGTTGCAAATATGGTGTTGCAAAGATTTTGTAATTTGAAGTTTGAGTCTACATTAATTTCACAACCATTAAAAATGAATAATACAACAAAAAATCTATAGCTAGAATTAATTACCGTATTTGACGGCATATAAGACGCACTTTTTTTCCTAATTTGGTCTCAAAAAAGTTACCTGCGTCTTATACGTGAAGGTAATTGCATTCAATAATTGTTTATTTGGCTTTTACGAAACGTGAGAACTAAAAGAAACCATGCTATTAAAACTTTTTTTCCTTGTGTGTGTGGCCGTCTAAATAAGGGTGCATCTTATATGCCGTCAAATACGGTAATTTACAATGTCATATAAATTGTATTGAAAAATCTGAAGAAACAGATTTTATTAGCTTTTATTCATACTCTTCAAAAAATAAGTAAAATTACAAATTTTTGCACTAAAAATAACTCTTTTGTTTGGGAATACTTTTGTATATATGAACAACTTTTTTCACAGTTGAAAATTAATAAGTACCCAATTGACAGATAAGTATCTATAAAGTGTGAAGATAATTTCTCTCCAGAGCTACAAACTGTATCAGAACCAAGACACCATTAAGTGTCCAGCTGAAGTAAGAAATAATACTTTAGAATTACTAACATCCAAACATAGGCATATTTATTTATGCATCAAAGAAAATTTAATAATAAGAAAAAGTGGCCAAGTTGTCATCATTTATTCTTCAACTTAGTGCCGTCTGGGAAAATTTTCTCTGAAAATTTCAAAAGTTTTCCTAATATGCTTAGTTTTTGTTTAAAGAAAAGTAAAGCTTCACTCACATGATTGTTTTAAAATCATAAGAAATCTAAACTGAGCTTTGTTGCTATGCAACTAGACCTTGCCTAAAAAAAATTTTGCCTAAAAGTTTTAACTTTTCAGGTATAAAAGCTGACCAATCACAGCAAAGCAAACATCTGTCAATTATTTTGCCAAGTCAGCTACACACTTACCCATGCACAACTTACCCTCAATTGATTGATCATGTTAAATAAGTGTGAATGGACTTAATTAGACTTTTAAGTCTTAAACCACAAAACTTTATGATAACAAAATAGTCATCTGAACAAAGCCTTAATTACTTAAGTATTAATTAAACACACTAAAACTATTTTAAATAAATGTCAGTCAACAAATTTAATATTTAGCTATTAATATATTTAAATAACAAATTCTAACAAACAAAAATGTCTTGAAGGAACTATAGATTTCAAATAGAAAATATAAATTTGAATTATTTTCCTTTATGATATTACTATTTTTATTGTTTATGTATATTTTGATAAATATTTAAAACACAAAATTAACAATTTACTGAAAATATTTTTATATTGTAAATTAAAAAAAGGCCCATCAGTTATTTGCAGATTGTGCCTTTTGGCCCGCATTCATTTTGAGACCGCTGTTCTAACCCTTTACACCCCATGCATGCTTTTGTGTTGTAAATGGTTAACACAGCACAAAAGCTTCAATTGTAAGCAAGAGCAACACAAGAATTGGGGCTGTAGGTGGTTAGAAAAACACAAGGTTGTAAGCACAAATGGTGAGGGGCAGCAGACCCAGTCATCCAAATCCACTAATCACAAGTTATCATCCATCACATTTTCAGTTTGGATACTACTACAGAGCACATTTTTTAGACGATTTTCATTGTAATTACAGAAATATATTACTTAAAATTTTTAGGTTTTAAATGTTCTGTTTGATAATCCTTATTCTTCACTATCTTTAAATACCCTAATTTCCATGATAATAAAGCCTTTTGTAGTATTGGAAGAGGTATCTTATCCCATTGCTCTTGAAGAGATTTCCAAAGTCTAAGGAGATTGTAAGTCAACGTTTCGACAACCTGCTTTTTAAAAGCTTAAAAGCACAAAAATACATTGTTGATAGATGAGGAGATTTAGTAGAGATATGAGTTAAGGGTATGGCCTTGATATCCGTTTCTTGTTCCATTTTTTCCAGGAAATTTACAGTAGATTTTGACATGTTGCTGCTTGCTTCGTCTTGATGTGGTTCTACTGATTGATCACATTGTGTGCAAAGAGAAGATATTTCACATTTAAAAATCGGGTGTAAAATATGTTTTTGATAATATGTGGAGTTAATCTCAACATTTTTCACCACTCTCTTTATTTTTAATTTGTCGTTATATGAAAACCATCGACAATTATAAATCCCTTGGAAAAACTTTCTTTAGATTCTTTGAACCCTGTTTTAAGATTTTTTTCTCCTCTTTGATAATAATAAATGGATCTCTTTTTATTGCAGTCATTTAAGTACACCCAAGATTCGTCTATTGTGACAACATTTTTTCATTTTTGTCAGAATAAATGTTTCTCATAAAGAATTCTATAGTGCGTTCTGCATTCGGCAATATGTCCTGGAGAAAATCGATGCACAGTATGCTTTTTCCGCCTTTTTAAGATTCAAATCAGCCTTAATCACTTTGTTTACAGTCGACACTGAGCATTTTAATGATTCTGCAACTGTCCTTCGACTTAGCAGATTTTCTTTTAACATTAAAGACCTTACTTTTGCAGCATTTGAAGTATACCACTTTTTCCTTGGATACATGTTTGGAAAAATTTTTCCACTTTAAGCTACCTAACATAGCTTCATATATATCAAAGCTTTTTATATTTAAAGCTACGTTAATACGGCTTTCACAATGTTTTTTAATGACCAGATACAAACAATTTTCATTGGAAAGAAATGCAACATAACCTCCCACCCACATTTTGCATGAAAATAAAACTGTCAGGTAGCAGATGACAATTTATACTTTCAAAAATATAGTTGTAATTAAAAAGAAGAATTCCAAGCAGAAGTTTTTTTTTTTCTTTCAGCAAAGCAAAATCGTCTAAAAATGTGTGAACAGCCTCTATATAGAGACCATTAAGTATTTTTTTAAACAAGGAAATGAGAGAAAACTAACCATACCCTTGCCAGGATTTCAACTATGGGTTTTCCTGTTGTTAGCCAGATGTACTAATGATTTATACAACAAAAATAAATATGGTAAGAATGCAATAGTGCCTTACACTATTACAGAATAATATTATGACTACCATTACTGATTAAAATTTATACTCTAAAAAATATTGATCATTTCAGAGGTGGCTGGCTATGCACAGTATGTAGTTACTATGAAACAGTATATTTAATAATAGTTCATTATATTTATTCTAGTAGTTATTGAAGAAATAATTACTAGAATTAATATTTCTCAAAGCTTGAAAAAAATTACCTTTTGACCAGTAAGTAAAACACGTAAAGATCTCATAAATTGTGCATAGGGAAGCTTCATGTCGTCACATAATTTCCTTAATTTTAAACCTAAATTTTCTTGAGTCATATCAGAGTCAGATAAGGATGATAAAATAACAAGAAGTTGTTTGAAGCCTATATCCAAAAGAAAATACATAATGCTTATTACAAAATTAAAATGTGAATATATAATTACAAAAATATATATCAAAGACTGATACACAACTGACACAAATTAAGAGTTTCTCTTTTGAAATTTTCTAAATTTTTACTTTTTAAATTTAAAAAATAAAATATTTATATTGTTTTTTCCATAAGATTAAAGAATAAAGAAAATTTTTGAACTGTAAAATATATGGTAGCAATAAACGTAAGTTTGTTTAAGTTATTGAGTGTGTTTATATAAGTATCAATTACCCAAAATAAAAGAATCTGGTATGTTAAGAAGCATGATCTTGTCTATCACTTCAGTATGATTTGGTGTTGTCCACAGATATTCCATATCAGGTATCAACAAATCAAACAAATTGTTTATTCTGTCCTAAAAAGAAATTATATTACATAGTGATTATTATACATATATTACATCGATAACCTATAACATAGCACATGAAAAGTGCACTTAAAGGCATATAATATTATGTATTTCAAAGAACTAATCAATTTCAATAATATACTTTCGCATTCGTGTACACATTTTATATTGTTATCATAAAACACATGTCTAAATCATACGCTGAAAAAGCTAGGGAAAAGTTCATGCAGGGGGAGAATATGCAAATAAGTACAGTATTTCAAATGATAGCAGAAAATTACAACTCACACAGCTAATAAAATACTCACAAATAATTCTTATGAAACTGATGACACTTTTGTAAATTACCATATATATCAATAAAATGTTTTTGGACTAATCTAAATCAGATTATAAAAGATTAACAATAGTAATAATTTTGAAGCAAATAAAGCTATTAAAAATTTTATAAAAACAAGTTCAATTTTTATTTTATTATTTTAAACATGGAGGTTTAAAAGATTAGACTTTAAAGCAGAATGTAAATCATTAAGATTAAACCCTATCTAACAAAATTGGATCTTAAAACCTTTGGCACTAATGAAAAGACGATCTAAAATTGCATAGATCATCTTGTCAATGAGTGTAAAATGTTTTAAGCTTCTATTAGAATACTTGTTAAATGCATGGAAAAAGGGAATAACTATTACATGTTTTATATCTTTGGAAAGAGCTCACTGAGAAGAAGATTTTGATGCAAAACTTGAAATTTGATAGCCAGTGTTTATAGAAGAAAGAGAAATTAATTTTATGAAGTTTGAAAATTTGATTTACAACAACATTCAACAATGAAGTAATAAGGAATAGGTACGGTAAAAGCTTTCAACAGATTTAAATTTGAAAATAGCTGATTATTGCTGCAAGGCTATGTAATGACTTGATAGTATAAGTTTTTATCTCCATTTTCATACAGAAATTGCTAATCCTATGGTATCATAGTCTTTTATAAAATCTTCAGAACAGAATTTTTTTAAAATTTATCTAGTAGTTTATTTAATCAGCCATTCTTCATTACTAAAAAATAGACTTGTTTTAAATAGCACATTCATGCACACAAAGCAAGTTTGTACCAACAACAGTTCATTGAAAACTATTATTTTAAAATTATATAATTGATAAAAAAATAACTTAACTTATAAGTAGCTCTTATACTATTCAACTTATTAAAGTAATTAATTCCTGTTGTTGATCTTTCTAATGTTTTTATACAGACACCAGTTACAAAAATAGTAATATTAAACTACATCAATTTACTAACATCAAAATTAAAGATAGCAAGTGCAATAATCAAAATAGGAAAATTAATGATATTATGTTAATACTCTTTCAATAAATAATTAGACTTATAGCCAAGCTCTACAAAAAGTAATTGTTGCTTCCATAACGAATCCTGTGGTGGTCTCCTAGTGATAGAAACACTTCTTACACATTGCACACAGTACAAGTACAAAGTGCAGTAACAAAGATGTAAGGCACAAAGCGAAAGAAACCATTAGGTCCCAATGAACATGAATCATCAGCTCCATCAACAGTCAAGTACAATACAGAAAGTATGACATTAAAGAATCATGTCTCAGCAATGGATAATAGTTGTGTGCAGGAAGCACATGAGTATTTAATAGACTTGGGCGACCTACTGACCTATGAGGAAGTGATACCAAAGCAAGTGATTAAGAGTATAAAATCTGATTTTATGTCACTATTAAATTTAGTTACCCATATGAACTTAAAAATTCCTATCTTGATGGACAACTTGAACAAACTTATGATAGTGAGGACTATTTAGAGGTGACATAGTTCAAGAAAAACTAACAAATGCTAGTGTATAGGAATACACCAGTCTAAAAAATGTTACACTATATAGATCACCCACAAGAAATAAGGGTAAGCAAGAACAGATCACTCATAAAAAACAACAGGAAGCAAGAACAGATCGCTCACAAGAAACAACAGGGAGCAATAACATGTGACACTTATATAAAGAACATAATGTCTGAAAAAAATTAGATATATTTAGGCATATACACTCTAAAAAATTTACATATATGCTACATTGTATATACATAAATAATTTATTTAAGAATTTTTTTAAGGAATAATGTAAAGGAAATATTAAAATTCTGTTGCTTTCTACTGGCTCCAAACAGTGTTATTATCGACATTTTGAACAAATGCAACCATTTTCTATGTCTGGAGAAAAAGTATTTAAAAGTATTTTTCCCAGCAAATCAACTTGCATCTTAGAGGATACTCTAAGCCCATATGATGCAGGTTGATTTTAAGGCATATTCTGGAGTAAAAACAAGTACATCTCATGGACCAAGAAATGTGGTTTGTTGAAAATTAAGTATGCCCAATTATGAATTTTTACATTAATAATAATTGCTTTGCTTGGAAGTACATTTATATATGAACAGCTTTTTTTTTTCAAAGCTGAAAATTAATAAGAATAGAAACCGACTAACTGATGAGCACGTTGATAGTAGTAGCAGTTGCCTAAGACTTGATTTGATTTGAAATCCCAAATGTGTATTTTGGGATTAGAGAACACTCTGACAATGCTACACAGACCAGCATGTAATCCAGTTACTATAATAGCAGCAAGAATAACAATTAGTAAAAAATTATGTAGTTGTTGGTGATTTGTTTTTTTATGACGTTAGCATCTTTTCTTCTCAAAACAAGAACTTCACGTAACCCATCTAAATATTAAAATATGTGGAATTTTAACCAGCCGCTGATTCCACAAGCATCTACAATCCCCAATGAAGATAATTCTAGCAATTTCTCACCAAGGCTACAAACTTTATGAGAATGAAACATCATCAAGTGTTAAGTTGTAGTAAGAAGTAAAGATGTTTAAAATTATTTAGATATAAACATGCAAATTTTAATTTATGCTTCAATGAAGAATTTAATGAATAAGAGAAAAACACTAGGTTGTCATTATTTATTCTCAAGTTTTCTCCCACTTGGAAGGTTTACTCTAAAATTTTAGAAAGTTTTCATAATTTAGTTTTAATTAAAGTTATTTAATGAAACATACTAGAACTACTTGAAACAAATATCAGTCTGAAGCATTACTATTTAGCTACCGATATATTTGAATTATAAAATGTTACTAACGAAATGTCTCGTAGTTACCAAATTTTTTATTTCAGATAGAAAATAGATTTTTTTTCTATCTGAAATCAAAAGTTTGCCCAAATAAAATGAATTTTTTCCTTTCCACTGTTATTATTATGGTTTATGTATGCTTTGATAAACATTTAGTAAGTGAAATTTAAAATTTAATTAATATACTTTTTATTTCATTAATAAAATATTTTCACTTTTCTAAAAAGATAATCTGGTACATCTATTGTTTTCAGATCATGTATTTGCCCTGCATGTAATCTGAGTTTGAGATCATTGCCCTACTTAATTACTCACTACCTACATCAAGCAACAATGGTGCACCTCACTTACTTATAGAAATTTCTAATAATAAAAGTACTAGATTGTTAAAAGAATACATTACTATTTTATTTAAATGTACGAAGCATGATGGAAATAATTTTTAGTTAATATATACTAATTATAAAAGCAAAAAATTTAAAGCATGAGTTAATAAATGAATGAATAATAATTTTTTTAAACTAAGGAAAAAAACAATAAAAGAAAGATTAAAAAAATCATATTTTTACATATATGAAATGAACAATAGCAGTAATTAAAGCAAGGGCTTCATTTGCTTTTAAAATATACATACTAATGACTATGTGACTCTTTGAATATGTGACAACTGAAAAATTGTCCATAATTACAGAAAAGGTATGAAGCTCTTCCAATTCAGATATACAAATACAGTACTTAAATGCGAAAAAAGCAGATGCATGTATACATGCATATATCCCATTATAGAAAATAGATGAATATAAATTTTTAAAAATAGAAATTAGAATAAAAAAATTTCTGAGAACTTTTACTGTAATAGGTTCTTTTAAAATTCATATAAATGCAAATTTTACATACTTTATAACACAAAAGGACCTTCTTCATAAACAAATTAGGTAAATTCTTCTCCTCTTCATGAAATCTATATACAAAAAGAAATCGATAAAATTGATACTTAAAATCTGAAAATAAACATTCAGTTTAAAGGACTTATGCTTATTTTAATTTGAATAATAACAAAATAATAATAATAAAATAATATATAAATGAAATAAAAAATACGAATATTCAGGTTAAAAAGTTTAAAATCCTTAAATAAATTCATATGCAATATATAGCAGCTTAAATTACATTTGAAAGAAAGGTATGAGAAGCTTATTTTTAACATAGGACTCAAGGCACAATTATTTACGACTAAATGCCACCCTTAAAAAATAATACATAATAATAAACTGTTTAAATGTGGTTTCTGAGAAATATAATTACAAAAGATCATTAGGCAAAATAAAGAAAAGCAAAATACCAGAGAAATAAATCAGGTGGCATATGTTGTCATAATTAGTCAGATTTAAAAACAGTCATAATTTCAACTAATTTGAAGATACTTTAGAACTAATCAAATTATTTCTCACCTGTTCCAATTCAAACATCACATGAAAAGTTATTTCTTTAATAATGAGGTATTAAAAAACTTACATACTTCAGAAATTAAAAAAGTTATTTATTACATAATATACTATTTAGCAGTACAGTTAACAACAGCCTGACTGGACCAGATTACTGCAAAACATACAAAGGCTATCTGCATAAGAGAGTCTTTGTGGAGGACTTTTTAAGGAAAATTGATTCACATTTATATTACACATTTTGTAAATCACTAAAATTCTCATGCAGGCTACCCATTTCGTAGGATCTGAATGTGAGTTGAATCAGCAGTTTTAAGACATTAGTAGACTCAGTGAAGAAAAGCTATGAATCATAAAAACAGAGCCTGATTATGAGCCTTCATAATTGATGATTTAATCATTGATTTAGTAAGTCATTAGTTAATTAATGAAATAATCATTTAATAATAAGCCTTCATAGTATGGTCATAAGAAATGCAACCAGCATTCAATGAAAAGCATTTATATTTTCCCAGTTGCATGGTGTGCCAGAGAGGGGAATATGTTCTTACTAATTGATTTAGAAAGATTTCAAAGTTCTTACTTCTCTTTTTATCTAGCCTGTCTATTCTTAAATTCTCTATTTCTTGCAAAGTATGTAAAATAAAGAAATAAAAAACATAAAAAGACACTGATGAAAAAATCATATTTACCTACCCTATTTGGTCAATTTGTATCAGTATGAAAATCATTACCATAAATACAAAAAGGCATACACAATTTACCAACCTTCTGGTTGGATTATTCATGCATATTTAAGTTTGTGGTTGCAAGTGGCATGAAAAGACATCACAGTTCAGTTTTGATTTATAGCAATCTGTTCATATATATTATTATTGCACTGAAGCATTATCATCTTGAACAATCACGTTTATTATTAAAAGGTTAATTATTACTACGCTCCGACTACATTCTGATCGTCAATATTGAAGAAATTTTGTTTACAATTTTTATTACTTTAATTTAAGGCTTATATTTTTAGCTTCCAAAACGTACTTTTGTTTTGTCTTTCCGGTGATTAGAAGTAGAGTTATGGCTGTTTTTGTTCTATGCCATGAACTAGAAGTTGCTGTTTAAAAGACCGGAAGATGATATTTAAGGGAATGAGATGGCCGATATGCTTGCGAAAAAGGGGGCTACGGTTCTCCAAAAGCCAAAAACGAGTGCAAGCCTCCATTCTATTAAGCTTGCATCTTTTAGACTATTGACGGGACATGACTGTCTACAGAATCATTTATTTCGCATTGGACTAGCTCATTCGCCATTGTGTGTTTTATGTAATAGTGAACGGCCAATGATGGCAGAACATTTGGACGAGTGTGAAGCACTGACAAATTTTTCTTGTAGATTTCAGTGCTATTGGCAAGCAAGGAATTTAATGGCCTAACAGCCAATGTAACTGGCATTTGACAAATAAAATAAAATAAATAAACAATTAGAATTAAAATAAGTAGAAAATATATGGGATATAATCCAAAATGAATGGAATGATAAATATTATGCTGTTAAAGGAAGACTTTTAAATACTTTTAAAGAAAGCAATGAAAACAGTGTCATGAAAACAAAGTCAGTTATTGCACAAAATTGAAATCATTTGCTGGAACAAATTTAGCAGATAAAGTTTTGCAAACCTTGTGGCTTGGCAAATTGCCAGAATCCATTAAAATTAATACGATTTATGTAATGAAAAACTTAGATAACTTATCAATAATGGCAAATAAAATATTTGAAACGAACTCATCAATAGAAATTTTTTCTGCTGGTGCAGACAATTCTGTAATGAATACTGTGCTCTAACTTGGAAAAACAGACTTCCGAACTAAATGTTCACATACAGTCTAGAAGTAAAAGTCAACATTCTGGCTTTAATCAAAGCATGAGTCTTAGTCATTCAAGGAAAAAGTATAATCCCAATGGATCATACTGCTACTATCACTCTAAAATTTGATGATAAATGTTACCCTAATAAATATAAAAGCCCATGTAGCTGGAAGGCATCATAAAACTTCACTCAGCAGTAGATTTGATGAGGTTCTGCTGCAAATAAATTTAAAGATTGTCATCAATACTAATTATTCATTAAAACAACAGGTTTGAGCTTTCTTGTGGACAACAGTGTTGATTTATTCACCATTCCAACAATATCAAACCATAAAATATGTATTTTTTAAAACTTTATGCTGCAAATGGAACAATAATACCCACTTTTGGTTTCAAAATTTTAACTCTGGATTTAAGCTTGCATCGGTCATTCCAATTTCCTTTTGTAATCGCTAAAGTGGATTGATCTATTTCAGGCACAGATTTTTTAACAAACTTTAAACTGTTAACTTTAAACAAATCTATGTTAGAAATTAACATAATTAGACCTTCAAAATCTCCATGGGACAGTCAATTTTATTTAGTTTTCAAGAAGGATGGAAGTTTGCAACCATGAGGGGAGTACAGATGTTTTAATGTAAACCTGAGCATTATCCTACCTGGTTCATTAGCTATCAGAGGACTTTCCCCATGCATTAAAACAAAAGCATATTTTCAAAAATTGACCTATTTAAAGCTTACTTTCAGATTCCAATTGCTGAAGGAGACCAAAAAAAAAAAAAAAAAAAAAAAACACAGCAATATCGTTTGGGTTAAACGAGTTAACCATAATGAGCTTTGGGTTAAGGAATGCCCCATCTACATTTCAACGATTCAACAATGAAGTGTTTTTCAGACTGGACCTTCTTTTCCCATATTTATACAACATCTTAATAGCTTATTCAATGGAAGATGAACATTCAGAGCATCTAAAAGTAGTTTTTTCCCAATTAGAAAAATATGGTCTTCGTATAAATCTCAGAAAGTCAGTTATGGGAATGAATCAACTACAATTTCTATGATACTTGATTATTCTGGAAGGCTCAAAATCTCATCGTGAAAAGTAAATGTCATCTTGAATTACAGATTACCAAAAAACCGTTCATAAATTGCACAATTTGCTTGGTCTAATTAATTTCTACAAGCAATATATCATGGACGCCACCAAAAATCAGGCATTACTCTAAAAGTACTTAAAAGGTGCTAAGAAAAACCATGGCAAAGCAATCCAAAGAAGCAAAAGAAAAAGTTGAGCAATGCAAAAATGATCTGGTAAATCCTACTTTATTGAGTTTTCCTAATTCTGAGTCAGTGTGCACCGAAAACAATGCAGCAAATACACTGCGGACCAAAACATCACAGAGAAAACAAAGCAAGGCAAAAATGTTGTTATACATTATAGGAAAAACATCATCATTAAAAATAAAGTGGTTCAAAAACATCATAGTTTTAATTAAGACACAATAACACGCCGAATAAATACTAATTCAGAAGTCAAACAACAAAAATCAGCGTTAATTTACAAAATTTTCACAGGACTAGTTTCGATGGTTTTACCGAACCATCATCTTCAGCTGCAAACCGCAAATGAACAAGATAGGAATAATTTTTAGATAAGATAAAAAGCCTGGAAAAGAATAAGCAAGTGGCGCCATCTGTTGGTAAACCAGAACTAAAACATAATTTCTTTAAAGGCCGAAGGCAATTTGGATTGGAATTAGGATCGTTAACTAGACAGAAAGATTTTTATGATGTAAATGCCTCTAGAAATCCAGTTCTCCATGGAAGATGTTTTTTGAATAATTTTGGCAGCAGAAAAAATTGAAAGTGTGATTTTCGACCAACAATGTTGAGTAACAGAAGACTTCTGTGTTTCCTTTTTCTAAATATGCCTCTGTTCTTTGACGCGAAATTTTAAGGCTCTCTTAGTTGGCCAATGTAAATTAAACCCACTGGCAAGATCCTATAAATACCCCAGGAATTCATATCCGTTCCTTGAGTAGAGAGTTGGAATCATGGATAAAAAAGTTAAATTTCGAAAATATGTGCCTTTATAACAACTTCAACCCGGATATTATCCATATAACCAATCCCTAAAGATCCTTCACCTTCGGACTTATCCAAATAAAAACTGCGATCAAATCTTCGCAAATCATTTCAGCAACTTAAAACTTCGCTTATCCCATCTTGCGAATTGTCCAGATGATTTCTCCCAAATTCATAAAAGTGGTTCCTTCGCCTATTGTATCAAATTTAGGTACTGCCTCGTATCCATTAGCTAAATATTTAGTTTCTAGATTTTCACTCTATTAGACATAACATTTACACCATAAAAATTCAATGAGTTTGTAAAAAGGTTAAAACTTTCTCCTAGTAATTTACTCATGGTTTCTTTGATGTAAAATCATTATTCACCAATGTCCCTGGAGGGTGCATTAAGATGTCTAGAAACCAGACTTCGCGAATTTCATTTCTCTTGCATCGAAATTGATGAGCTAATTTCTCTCACCAACTCTGTTTAAACAAACACATTTTGTTTTCCAAATAAATATTACAAGCAAACTGAGGGATTAGCCATGGGAAGCCCCCTCAGTCCCATCCTGGCTGATATCTACAT